TATCATGCATCTTTGTTTATATCAAGATCTGAATTGGTTCAGAATTAACAAATCTGTGATAAGTTCAGGTTTCACAACACACAATTATTCTGATTATGTCAATCCTAACAGGTAGCCATGACTGTAGACAATATTCAATGTTTATATGTCTGTGTTAAAAGAAATTTTCCAAGGACAAATGACCACTTCTAAAACTTCACATCCATTATCTAAATTTGAATGAACTAAAACTGGGTAATCTGTCAGATCAATCTCATTAAAATCAGATCTTAGTTCTCGCTACCGCTAAACAAAGATCTGAGGACATCCCATTACGGGTCACGTCAGACCGACCTTGTGCAAACTTCGACCGACCATTGGAATGACCAATCAGAAGGCAGCTTTCTCGTGCTTTACGGCAGAAATTTCAAATTGGCGACTACGATTCGAGACATATTTTGACAAATTCTCGATTACAAATTGGAAACCTGAACAAAAAAACATTCTGGAATGGCTAATAGATGGTCTAGATTGTAAGGATTCAGTCGTTAAACCCGTAACTATTGTTCGGAATACCCCATGTTAAAGTTTTCGAGATTGCATGATTAGAAATCCCATTCCGACTGTCACTTTCATAATCTGGTAAGCGACGCACTGATTGGTCGGATAAAATGTCGTTCTGACGTGACCCCTAATGGGACGTCTTCACATCTTTGTTTAGTGGTAGCGAGAACTAAGGTCTGATTTTAATGAGATTGTCTATCAGATCTGTTTAAAATTCATAACTCATCATTGCAGAAAATAATATTCTTAATAATCTATAGAACTATTTTTCCACATTTGTGATCAGCAGATACGCAAAACCAAGAGATTAAAAAATACAAACTAATTTCACTTCCTTGTCATCTGCTTATACAAAGAACTAGGTCAATGGTTATCTATGCTTAGGTCAAGCTTATAGATTTATCTCCAGAATGGCTGACAAGTCAAACTGAATGATCCAAACTACTGACAATGCTTTTCAGTGATCATAAATTGTTCTCACATTCGGCAAACAACAGAGCAGAAATGATGCATGGCCACAACGGCAATCAGCCAAGTCGTGGAACATCAGCATTCAGTCTGTCTTACATCACTCCTTCCCAGCTGGGTAGTCTACAGCAGTTTTGTGCTTAAGTGGTCTGAAGAGAATACACCTAGTCCTGCAGTTAAGACTTTGTGATGCTAAGGTTTGAAAACAGTAAAACCTTGCTACAGTGGTAGCAAAGACTTTATACTGACACCAATAGGAATGATTCTGTTAATTTTGGGTTAACAAGTAACATGGTCACAAACTCACCAAATTATTAAAATCAAAAACATTAATTAATTTTTTTTATTTACTTAACATGCTTAAGCTTGATTTGAATAGTAATCTACTGAACTCTAAATTAATCCATTACCCGTTAAAAAAGAGTGTTATGGTTTTAGAAATATTGGGCCAGATATATATTTGGACAATGAAATAATATCCTATTTGTGTAAGTTTAAAGTTTTCAACTATATACTCTCATTTCTGAAGAGTGATATCAGTATTTGAATTGTTCAAATATTTCCTTATTTCACTATCTGCTTTAATAGATCTCGAGTTATCATTTTCCCCATCATTGCCCATCCACCGGTCCTTCACATAGAGTTTAGTATTACAATTATGTTTTCAAATTTCTGAAAACACTATTTCACTAAAAATTAAATGAAACGATAAAATGTGTACTTAATTTCAATATTGTTTCACATTAGGCCAATGTTCATAAACAGGTTTGTTCTTGAATGGTGATCACATGTATTCATTCCTTATCGATACGTTCAATCTTACCATTTTCTCAAATTCTTTCACCTGTTTGTAAATATGTATCTGGCCTAATCAAAATATTTGTTTTCAAAAGCCCTTGTTTGTCTTAGACTCGACGGGTTAACGTGGAACCGAATTAACCCCGCCCCTTTGTTTGCGACACATGTGTTTAGCCTTTCATCACTAAGTTGACTGACACATGCATAACTGTCACGACTGTGCATGTATATTAGATATTTTTGGCACCATCCGACGAAAGAATCTGCAAGTAGACAAAGATGCTGATGCCAAGTCGGCACTCTCTACCTATGGTACCAAGTTCTAATGTAAGAAATGTCATTCGATACGCGTTTTCCACGCACGCATGCCGGACCGGTTCAACGAAAAACACGTGTTTTGCACAGTGAATAAAACTTACCAGCAACGAAAAGAAGGCCTATAATTCCTAAAACGATGAGCTTTTTCATTTTTATCCAAGGAAACCAACTCCTTCGTCTCCTGGTAGGACTAGGAGAGGTTGTGTTTCGATGTTCTACGTGTAGTCGACGGTGTGTCCTTGCCTCACTCGGCAGAGCAACTTTTAGGGAATTCCCTTCCGCTGTGTGATCAACCAATGAAATATGACCACATATAGAAAATTGACCAATCAAAATGAACCAAGTACGCGTCCTCGGCAAGACTTGGCCCAACTTGATTGGTTGAACGCAATATACTACGTGTAAGGCACCTAATAACAATATGGCTTCGACGAAACAACTTCGATCGGAAATTAATATGTTGTACTGGCTTGGCGATATTATACATCCGATTCATGCGATCCATACCATTAAAGCGTGTTTGATTAATTAAGATATGGTTATCTGTATGTATTAATTGCTAATATTTACAGTTGCCGATACCCACTGACCCTCAAACAGCCACGTTATTATGTGAATTAAAGAGCCACTTTCATAAACCAATATTAGCGCTATGGCAACGGATCTGATACACTGAAAAAACACTGACTGTGAAGACATTTGTTCGTTTTAACAAATTTTCTTTTATCAGCTGTCGCTAGAAATAGATTATTATTATTATGTTAATTGGCACATCGTAGAGGCAAACGATGGACACAAACGTCAATCAGGAACAAACAATAAGAAGAAGACGCATAATCTCGCAAATATGCTTGTGTTCCTGTAAGGATGTTTGATCTATTCTCCTGTCACATGACACTGTTGCTATGTGGACCTGACATCAAAACGAAACAGAAAAAAATATAATACAAAAAACACATCAAAATATCAATATGATAAAGGTAACCGACTCGCTCTCTTGTTTTCTTCATTCCTTGGAACAGTTGCCGGCCTTATAGTCTGAACAGGAATATGAAATATCTTTGATATCATATTACATCGATTCCTAACTAGATGTATATGTATTATTCATCCCTACCTTCCCTGTACAAAATATAAGGTTAAACTTTTTTTCAAGTTCAGTTATTTTTGGACAGGTTTTCATTTACAAATATGACATAGATAACGTTTGGTTTGTTAGCATCTTGATTTGATTTGATGACAGAAAAGGGTAGAAGTGTTGACTGTGATGGGTGTCAGTGGTTTTTCATATATATCTTACACTGTACATTTGTCTTTAATATAACAACCCAAATACCTTCAACCGTTACCAAAAGTAGGAACTTCAAGTTATGCAAGATGGTGTCAAATATTTGAAATATACGGTTATAGCAACTGTGTAATGATATCACGAGTGAGTCTAAATGTATCACGTCACACCTATGCAGTGACCTTCTTGTAGTGCAGGCAAGTATCGGTGTGGTTTTTTTTCATACAAAATAAATAATTTGATTTTTCTTTCTATTCATATTCATGCCATAGGTTGTTTCTAGGGACAGAAAAGTAAATTTCTAAAATATCTGAACAAAATATATTGTTTTTTCATAGTAATTTATTACGTGGTTAATGCCATAACAACATTATTCTAAATCTATGTGTTGTAGTTTTTTCTATGTTTATGTGAGATTTATATTAGCGTCCACAGACGCATAAATCCCTGGGATCCCCTTAACTATTTTTCCAAAGCTCTATACCGTATTCAACGTAATAAGCGCCCAGGGTGCTCTCAAAATAAATATTAGAAATAGGCGGCTCTTATTATAATATAATTTTGGTAAAAAAAACAGAGTTGAAAGATTGTAAATTTCGTGGTTAAGCTGACAGCCTGAAATGATACAAAAGAAAAGTCTGTGCGTATTATACACGACAGATATATTTTCCAGAATTTAATTGCCCATAATTAAAGGTGCATATAACACACGAGTGCGTATAATACACGAATAAATAAGTCTTGTGTACATTGATCGGAAGGGGTGCTAATTGGGATTGTTCACTAGCCAATATACAATGTATTAGCAAATATCGCAGTGGGCGCTTATTAGAGAGGGGCGCATATTACGTCGAATACGGTATATATGTTGCAATTTTCTGATGGGAATATCGTACTGGATATCTACCTTAACCCACTTAGCCACCTATCTTGCCTCAACATGGCTGGCAAACCACCTGTTGGGTCGTTACAAACAAAGTAAACAAACTAGCTATTAACGCTCAACAGGTGGTCAAAATATATTGACAATTTAAAGTGAAATTATGTTTAATCTTATATTTAAATTTCAGCTGACGAGATACAAAATCTGCCAAAGAAAAATATCAATATCGTTCAGTCTATGAAAAGGCATATTGGTTATCCCCATTTACGCCCAAACAATTTAATATTTTCCTGGCTCTATATTTTTTGTGGTATCTTGCTTATCAGAAACTGTTTTCAGCTGTGACAGCGACCCCAGGCTTGTCGACTTATCGGCTGACGTGTCACTCTCAGAAGACGTTGCTTTGATTTGCTGTCCGCGTACGTGTCAAATTCCTACACCTTTCAAATGACAAAACAACAACAACAAAAACAACAACAACAACAAAACAAAATCTGTATGGATTTTCTTTTAGAAAACACTTCGGGGTTCAAAGAGTTGCAGTTAGTTGTCTTTCATACATCGTTGAAGGTTTGTCGACAGAAGGTTTTGTTAATATTACATGCAGTACTGGGAATAGTATCCTATTTATAAATATTGACCTTGTTCTAGCACGTTCCGTTACTTTACGTAGAAGCCGGTCTCTTGCCGAACATTACCGAAGTTAACCATCCCACAATTCCTCCTTTGACCTCCGCTTAACAAATATTTCCGGGGCGTCTGCTAGTTGGTGTACACAGTGTGCATGGTGATATGAATGATCGATCAGGAATATCAACAAGTTGGAGAATCCTCAATGGCGCCTGATATGAATACGGGATATTTATGAAATCTACAGGTATTTGTTGTCTATGATTATCCAACGATGTTTTTGTGAGTTTTACTCTATTAGATTTGTTTTGAACATTAGCCTTCAGATTGAGACTTGTTAAAGTTTTGTTGACACTGGGATATGCCGGTGTCACTTTACATAGTGACATAGTACTGTGCGGAACATAACCGATTCAAAATCAGTCAACGTGTAAAATGTGATACAAACTGAAAAACATTCGATTTAGATCTATTTTTATCCGCAGTATATATATATTGAAGCACATGCATACGATGTAAAATTTTTGACCCCCCCCTTTTGATATAACTCCATGTGTATTGAAGTATTCACTCAATGGCAATGTCGTTCATGAATATGTAATTATGTATTTCGCTAACTAAACTGGTCAACTGGGAACACTTTGGTATAAATGATCATTACTGGTCCCTAAATTGATACAGAGCTATAGCTATACGCCATTAAACCCATTAAATCCTTAAGACAAATCAGTGCACCACAGTACTAATGAAAGCTTTGCCTTGTTTGAAATTGAAATTAAGTCAAGGGATATTATAATCTTGTTAATTAACCCTCTGGTTGCAAATTTAGCTAGTGCACAGATTAGGATACTATTCATTTGTTTTTATCAGCATTCATTCGAGTAATGGTATATACAAAAACTATTCAAAATATGAAATCACTGCTTGCCTGAGCAACGCTTCTACAGTCTTTCACAGGTTCGTATACACTGCCCTACATTCCACCATCAACCATGAAGAAATATGTAACATATGCATGTATTGATATGCCATGATGATGAAGTGACGATGTCTGTCTAATGCTGGCCATCAAATGACATGTGACCATGTATAACTCATGGAAGACAGAAAATCTCTACTCCGTGTATGAAATTCGGTGAAGCCTACCATTACTTGATTTTGAAGCAAGGTGTAGAGTGTAACGTCAAGTGAGAGACATCGTCTTTTCTGCTTAATTGTATGTACGTTTGTATTTAAACTGAGCGCCCATTGGTCTGAGTACAAGTGGTTTCCTTCTTGCCGTGGCACGTGGGCATTCTTGGTATAAATATAGGTCCACAGCAGCCTATGCTTGTCATCAGAGGCGACTAAATGGAGGGGGTGGTCAGACTCGGTGGTTCGTTTGATTGCATGTCATAGTGTCCAAATTGTGTGGATCGATGCTCATGATGTCAATCACCAGATTGTCTGTTCCAGACTTATTTTGCAAACTGCCGTCATATATCTGCAATATTGCTAAGTGCAGCGTTGACAACAAACCAACCAATCCCCTCACTGGAACAAGGCCATCGCTTGTTTGTTTATAAATAGCAACTACATCACAAAGGCTGTATAGTGTCATCTATGAGGTGATGAAGAAACATAGTACATTTGTACCCATGACGTATCAAAGATGTGAACAAGGATATCTTTGACTATTGGGCAGCTAGATTGCTACTGTCAATTGGGCAAAGGAATGCCTGTTATTTTCCTGACTATGGCTCAAACCAAGGACCCTTAGGACAGGACTTCTTATACTGGTTGCCTTCTAAAGAGACCATTGGTTTCACTTTGGTGGCAGCATTGTCTTTGACTATGGTCCCAATTTTTTATTCAGCTTTGGGTTCTAAACTGTGCAGTTTTAATCACTGGGGGGTAAAATATCCCAAGTACCCCATGCTTGTGGTAAGAATCATCCAATTGATGATTTTTTTGTCACAATGGATGACCTGGCTGATTCAGTGTCATTGTGCGTGGATGATGGGGATGGTTGCTGGCACTGCTGACAACTGGGTTACCTGGCCCTGATTCAGTTGTCAACAGGCTGGTTTTGTTGGAATACCATAGTCTGTGTCGTAAGTCAAAATCACTTCCTCATCCGCCAGAGATAACCGCAGTCGACAGAACTGGAGACTTTCATGGATTTTAAAGAAAACTGGGTAAGTTTCCATGAATCAGTTTTTACTATCAGCCACCACTTCCGACTATTCAGATGGAATATTTCATCAGCAATTCTCATCCGTGCATCAAAGTTGTCATGAGAGTTGTCTCCCCTTCCCCAAATCCCTCGGGTCAAGTGGTCAAACAGGAGTCCCATACAGCAGCTAATTAGGCCAATATCACATGTAGACAGTGCCATGGCTGGTATTCAGTGATTCATGAAAAGCTGTTTACATATACTTTACTGTCATAAGAGCGACACCTAATACCTTTTGATCTAGGATGAGTTGCTTGGCCATGTTTCTGTTTATTGATTATTCTAACACACTTTTATTGATGTGTACTGGTTGCCTGGAGGCAAAACATACTTACTGGTATTTTAAAGTTTAACCTACTCTCTATGACAGACTACTCTCATGTTCAAATAATTTCATTAGTGGGTAAATTTCTTTTGATGATTTCTTCTCTTACTGAGACCTCAACATGCTGAATATGTCAGTCTGTGACAAACACTTTCAAGGCTACTAGCCCGGACTTGGTTCTTAGCATCATTTTCAGTTGATTTTACAAGTTTGTTTGTTTGTTGTTTAACGCCTCCCTCAGCAATATTCCAGGTATATGACAGCGGTCTGTAATTAATCGAGTCTGGACCAGACAATCCAGTGATTGACAGCATGAGCATCGATCCATGCAATTCGGATCGATGACATGCATCAACCAAGTTAGTCACCTCTTAAGACAAGCATACAATTTTATTGGTATTATATAGACTGAGCTTACTGGGCTGAACACAATTTCACTAGAATGGTACTTCGGACTTGTGACTAAAATTGCAGAATAATATGTATGTTTAGTTTGTTGAAAGATAGTAGATGTTTATGTTTCTTGCAGGCTTGAAATGGCTTAGAATTTTGCGGTCCAGTCTTGAAGATGCCTTAAAGTTGAATCTGCCTTGAAAATGCCTTGAAATTGGCAACCATTATTAATATTCCTGTAAAACAAAAATGCTACAGTTATTTTTCTCAATTAGTGTGTGATGACATCATGTAGCAAAGGATTAATGCTTGACTCAATCGGTAAATGCTTATATAATTGTGACACTGGCGTGTGGACTTGAATGTTTAAAAAGTTTGTTTATTGGGCATACAAATGAAGTAAAGTAACGAACCTTACATTTGTGGCTCAAGTCTATGAACCTTGTACTTTACTTTTTTTTAACCTTGTTTATAGTCATATCTTTGTTTGATCAGTGCACTCCATGTTTAGCTTTAACTTAAATTGCTTAATATGATCATATTTTATATGGAAAATTCAAATTTTCAAGGATTACAAACCCAAAAAACCTAAATTTATTTTGTAGGTTGGAAGTAACTAAACATAATCATGTTCTGTGGCACACTTGCCTGTGTCTGTCAGCCCCTAATTGTCTCTTTGTAAACTTTTCAGTAGATTTTAGTGTTACTGACTTAATAAATAATTAATAAATAAAGATTGATTGATTAACTTAATGTTTGGACAATCACAGTGACTTGTGACATTTCCTTGTAGAGTACCGCTTTTGTCATTAGCTTGATGTCAACTCTGTAGCAGATCAGTTTTGCAGACTAGTGTAAATAAACAATAATGTCTAGCCCTCATGGCTGAGATATGTATACTGATACCCTAATATATATTGTATTATAGATCTGTTCCTATTTTCATGGAAGCAGTTTTTCGACGTACTTGCTCAAATGTGAAACTGAGGTTGGGTGTAACCAACATATAATCAGTCTGAATTAACTTGTCTGGGTCTACTACTCTTCTACACCCAAATTGTTTTCAGATTACAAGGTACATTTTACTTTTCCAAACCCTTTTGATAATGTCCCAGGGTTTTACACGATGCAGAAATGTGCATCCAGTATGCACAAATGTATAAAATGGATGCAGAAAAAATATATATTGCGTCCTGAGGGATGCACAACAATATTCAAGGTACTAAATTCTTAACAAGAAATATAAATGTAGCGGCCATAAAATTTCCGAGTCCCGTGAAGGGATTCGAACCACGGACCTTCTGATCAGAGATCGGACGCCTTGTCCACATGACCAAAGAGGTTAACCCCGTCAGCAAGCTGACAAGGTAAGGATGTCATCTGTGGGATGCCTCCACGCCCTGCTACATAAAGTTCTTGTCATTTAAATAATTATCAAATATGATAATAGATAGTGATAGAAACTAACAGTTTTAGTCAATACATTTAAAACATATAGCAGAACCCTTAAAAAGGACAAATTTTTACTGGTCCCTGGATACCTTACCTATTGGGCAGTTTGGTAAGGACTACAGGATTAGTACAGTACAGTACACTGCACCATTTCATTATTTTACAGGATCCTCATTAGTAATCAGTAATTGTGGGTCTTCTGGACCACTAGGTTTGTAACTCAAGGTAAAACCTGATGTCCCTGTGTGAGTGAGTGAATGAATGTTGTTGAATGCTTCAATCAACAATATTATGACGTTATCAAGGTAGCCTGTGAATAATGAACACCTATCAGCAAATGTTTTTTTTAACATGTTGTATTCATTTTGTAGCTTTTGAACTTTGGTCATGGTAGCACAGAAATACCTGACAGTAATTATGCAATTAAATACCTGGAACATGTGCCTTCAGCCCAACCCAACTCTGTTATTTGTAACCATGATTGTAGCCTAATTTACAAAGAATTTATTACAAGATTTAATTCACTTTACACTTCTAATTACAGCAACAAAAGCTCATAGAACACTAATATAAATTGCTGTCATGTGACACGAATATATCCAAATAACACTAGATTATTACACAGAGAAATAAATCAATCAGAAAGGTTAAATTTTTTGCTGCGGAGTTATTAACCAGTTTAACAATATAGTAATTTCCTCCAGGCAAGGCATTAAATCAGGGAACATAATGCTGTATTATTAAACCAGACAGACTACATGCCTGTGCTGGTCGGCATTAGAAAGTTAGATGGAAGGTGATATATGGCGGAGATTAGTAGCGGGATATTGAAACAAGATAATAGGTCGCTAGGCCAGGCGTG